CTTTTTCCTCCCCTGCCACCACATGCAGGCTTCCTGTCCCTTAATTCAGTGGGTCGGACACCTACCTACTTATGCATAGTTTTGTATATCCCATTTTCTCTCTTTAACGTCTTTTATGACTTTCTGTTAGAATCTTTCTTATTTATTTATTTTCACTTTGCCAGAGATGGGTGGGGAGGTGAGAAAGCCTCCCCTTTGCTGGGGGGTGGGGGATGAATGAAAACCTGGTAATTTTCTTTCATCACAGAAGCTCAATGTGGAAGCAGGATTTAGCAGCACCCCAGCTTCCACCTTCTAGATGCCAGTTAATATCCCCTTGGTCCAGTTGTGACAACCGGAAATGTCTCCCCAAATTACCAAATGTCCCCTGCAAAGCAGAGGCTAATTCCCATCCCTGTACTGGGAACCGCAGGTTGAACATATTCCATTCCCTACCCTCGTTCTTGCCACTTCAACTCCGGAACCGCCAGGGTCAAACGCTAGCATCTATAGATTTATAGCGTGGCTGGAAAAATGAGTGACGAGAGCTCCTGCTCTTAAAACCCAGGCAGAGGCGACCTAGGATAGAACTGCCTCCATAAAGGACCCTCCCTGAAGGCCTGACCAGGTGGTAAGGCTGCTGCCTCCCCTCGTCCCCGACCTGTGCTCCCCCTCTGTTATCTGGCAGGCTGCAGAGTCACGCTCTGCCCTGCTCTCTCCTTTCTTGGAGAGACCTACCAGCCCAATCTCATTTCTAGTGGGAGGACACCAGTTAGGTGCCTCCACTTCTGTTATTTTCACTGTTCAGTCCCCTTAGGTCTCAACAAGGTGATCTCCAGACTGAGGGAAAATGCAACAGCTGGAGACCACCAGGACTCTACTGAGAGGAAGTGTCTGTGTCAATATAAAGGCTTGTGTGGTTAGATCGACCTCACCTGTGATGGTATACATGCCAGCAATTGTCAGCAAGACCATGGTGGACAGGTAAACATCCATCCCCCAGACCATCCTCAGGAATATGGCGCCAGAGCAGATCTCCAACTGAAAGAAGCACAGCGTCAGCAGGCTGCAGCTGCGTTTCCAGCTGAGGCACCAAGGGTTCCAGAGAGAACCTGACTTGGAAGCCATCTTTAAGAGGTGGCTTCTGGCTAGCATGTCCGCTCCATCACCAGTGGGTGCTGGGGGGTGTCCCCCCCAAGTTGTGTTGTGTGTGAGGCCTTTGCCCCAGGAGTTCAGCTAAGGTCAGTACATTCAGGACTTGAGTTAACCCAATTCTCCCAGTCAGTACAACTTAACCTCTCCCACTCTGGAACTTCAGAATGGAGAGTGTGTTCAGAGAATTAGCTGTTCTTGCAGGTTTGCTGTTGAGAAGATGCAACAGGACAGCATCTCAGAGGTGGTGAACTTTTTTTGTGAAGGGCCAGAGGGTAAATATTGTAGGCTTGTGGGCCATATCCTGGCTCTGCCTTGTACAGCCCTTTAAAACTGTAAAAAAATCATTCTTAGCTCAAGGACTGTACAAAGCAGATTATTAGCTGGACTGGCCTGTGGACTGGATTTGTTGACCCTTAGCTTAGTTGACACTGATTTTGAAACATCTGCACATCATTTAACTGGCTAACTAACCTCTTGCTTTGTTATTCTGGTCTCCAAAACCTGGGATACAAATGGGCAAAGAATCTTCTATCTATTTATTCACCAGAGGTTTACAAGGCCAACTGTATCCTAGACACTCAACGAAGTTCAAAAGACACAAGTGTCACCAACATGAGTTTGGTGTCTTCAAGGAACAGAGACAAACCATTAAATAGGCATTTTTTTTCATGCAGTATAATAAATGCCATTCATTTGCTTATTCAAGAAATATTTATCAAGGGCCCTATGCCCTAGACATGTTCATTTTATGCAAGACGGGCAAGGCCCTTGGTTTTAGAAGCTTACATTAAAGTGGAGAAGACGGTAATAAACAAGTATTGAGTCATCCAAAAAGTCACTATGTGCTTTTCTATGCAAAAATGAGTCATGGGGATGGGGACCAGCAGTTGGCGTAATGGCTATGTCACTGGACTCCCATGTAGTTGACAGCGGTTCAAGTCCTGAACCCAGTGGCTTAAACTCATGCTGGAAGCATGTGCGTGTGTGCCCAAAATCCTGAGAAGAGAATGGAGGAGAAGGGATTGCGGCATGGTCATCCCCCCAGAGGGTGATTTCTTGCCTTCTGTCTCTCTCTGTCTTTTTGGTGAGCGTACACACCCTATTAGCAAAAAACTCTTCAAAAAAACAAGAGTCATGACTTTTCTGACAACCCAATAAATGCATAAAATACACTCAAATGATGAAAAGTATTACAAAGAAAATAAGAACAGAGTAATGGCGTAGAAACTTATGGGGTGGAACCTTGAAAGGCCTTTCCAAGGAGGTGATATTAGGTCATCAGGAAAGTCATAACGTGTTTTTCTATGCAGAAATACATGATGTCTTTCCTGACAGCCCAATATTTCTTCTCTAAGGAAGGATGGAGAGTTGATGAAACCAAAATCTGGGCAAAAAACATTCCAGTCACAGTACAGAGTAAGTATAAAGAGCTCAGAGTGGAAATCAGCTTGCTGTCTGAGACTCAATAGGGGGGCAACATGGCTAGAGCACAATGAGAAAAAAAGGCGAGAAGGCCAGGTAGGTAGGAGAGCCCTTAAGAATCATCATGGGATCAGCCTTTGGTATGGTGGTTAAGGTGCTGGACTATCACATGACTGGCTGCAGTTTGAGTCCTAGATCCGGCAGCATGAAAATCACGCTGGGTGTATGTATATGTATACCCCAAATCCTGAGAGGAGAAAGGACTGCTGCATGGTCATTTCACCTGTAGGGGGTGATTTCTCACTTTCTTCCTGTGTCTGTTTTTCTCCTGAGAGCACATATGCCCTGTCTTTTTTTCTGAGAGAGATATTTTTGCCATAGGGTGCGTGCGCTCACTATAAAGACAGAGAGAGAGAGAGAGAGAGAGAGAAAGTGAAAAATCACCCCTGGGGGGTAGGGTATGGCCATGCCGCAATCCCTTCTCACCTATTCTCTCTAGAGATTTTGGGCATGCCAGCACACGTGTCCAGTGTGAGTTTCAAACTGCCAGGTCTGGGGCTTGAACTGCCATCGGCCAAGTGAGAGTTCAGTGTCTTAACCACTACACCACCTGCTAGCCCCATGTGCTCTATCTTTATTTAAAAAAAAGTCACCCCAAGGAGTTTAGATTTTCTTGTAAGGATGCTAGGAACCCCTGAATTGTTATCAGGGCATTACCTAATGATGTGAGGTGATTAAGGCTAGGGATACAGAGGAGGGGCCTACGACCTAAACTTAGAAGGTAAGGCAGATGCTTCTGCCTTTTTAAATCATTATTTTTATTTGTTTACTTATTTATTTGTCATTTGGTTTTTAATTATCTTACATCTTATGGTAGCATAGTTTATATAAATCTATGCTGATGGCGTCTCTCCTCTACTTTCATCCTTCTAGCAAATTCTACCATTCCCAATCGCACACACACACAGTAGTCCTTCAGTTTCTATGTGGTCTCAAACAGTTGTCTAACAATTCTGAAATACAACTTAGTCTGACTTATGTCATAGAATTCAAAGGTACAATTTAACTTGCTACTAAATCTTGTCACACTGACTTTCAAAAGCATCTGACCTTACAAATCATTTATAAAATATGTAAAGGGTTACGTATCCTTTATTTGATAGTATACACAAAACACACTAAAATTTTTTTTTTTTTTGAGAGATTTTTCACTGTAGGGCGTGTGCGCTCGCCAGACAGACAGAGAGAGATATAGAGACAGAAAGCGAGAAATCACCCCCCAGGGGGGATGGTCACGCCGCAATCCCTTCTCCTCCATTCTCCTCTCGGGATCTTGGGCACGCACGCACAAAATCAGCATACAAAAATCCATAGCATTTTTATACACCAACAATGGGAATACTGAAACAGAATTTAAAAAAGCAATCTCATTTACAATAGCCACAAAACAAGTAATGTATCTAGGAATAAACCTTACCAAAGACATCAAAGATCTCTACAAGGAAAACTATAAAACACACACACACACACACACACACACACACACACACACAAATCTTTAAAAAAGTGGAAAAAATCCCATGTTCCTGGATTGGAAGAATTAGTATAATCAAGATGTCAATTCTATCCAAATTAATCTACAAATTCAATTCAGTTCTGGGACCAGCAGTTGACATAATGGCTATGGCACTGGACTCCTATGTAGTCAACTGCAGTTCAAGTCCCAGACCTGGTGGCTTAAACTCATGCTGGGTGTGTGAGCATGCATGCCCAAGATCCCGAGAGGGGTATGGAGGAGAAGGGATTGTGGCGTGGCCATCCCCCCCCTCGTGGGGGGTGATTTCTCGCCGTCTCTCTGTCTTTCTGGCGAGCGCATATGCCCTACAGCAAAAAACCTCTCCAAAAAAATTAAATAAATAAAAGAAACAAAAAATAAAAACCCCAATAATATTCATTTAACATTTGCTTAAATCAGGACCGTCCAACAAAAATAACCCGTCAGCCATTCATGATCGAGATCTGGTGTAGATGATCAATGAAAAGATGGTACACCTAAAAAGGGTGAGACGTTTCTGTTTTGTCATAAACAAGGCAGTGGCCACCTATTACGCATTAGTAGCTTTTTAAAGATAAGCTATCCACTCTGCTCTTTCGGGCTTCTTTTTAATGCTAGCGAAGATCATTTTTGTTCCAGGGATGTACTTGGGATTCTCCAAATCCTCCATCGGTGCATCCTTGCCCCCAGGAGAGGCCTTTGTTCTCGTTGGCATCCATGGACGAGAATCCAGGGGCCTGGCCTGTCTTCTGCCCAAATAGACTGTGGAGACTGGGCCAGTCATGTGCTTGCCTCCCTTTTCCACGGTGTGGCACTGGGCACACTTTTTTTTTTTAAGAGGTTTTTCGCTACAGGGCGCGTGCACTCACCAGACAAGACAGAGAGAGACATAGAGACAGAAAGCGAGAAATCACCCCCCCCAGGGGGGATGGTCACGCCACAATCCCTTCGCCATTCTCCTCTCGGGATCTTGGGCACGCACGCATATGCGCCCGGTGTGAGTTTTAAGCCACCGGGTCTGGGATGCAAACCGCGGTCAACTACGTGGGAGTCCAGCGACATAGCCAATACGCTAACTGCTGGTTCCCTGGGCACACTTTTGAACAGAAATCTTGCCTTCCTCAACATCACCCATTTTAAACTCTCTTTTGTCACTTGGGATACTAGAAGCCAGAGGTCCCGCTTTCTCAGTGCCTTTATTTTTTGTGACGTACTATTAAGTTATTTTTCCTCTACTCTAGCCTAGAGAGTAGAGGCCAAAACACTTACAGGGCCCCAAAGTAGATGGCTGTTTTCGATTTGGCTTGCTTTCATGAGTGGTTTTTACATAACTCACCAAGATCCTATTGAAGATATAGAGGAATAAATACAGAATGCAGAGAAGGAGCTGGATCCGGAAGCCGCCGAACCTCTTCCTTAAATATTCTGGCAATGTCACCACCTGTAAAGCAACAAGAAAAATCACCATCAAACAGCGAGCACAGAAGAGGCAGACTCGGGGATGAGCCTTGCTCACAAAATGTAGCTTGTCACAGAGACACGGCTGATGGTGACATGGCCCAGGAACACAAGACATGGGGTCACTGTCTCTGGCACCTGTTAAGATGGGAGAAATGAGGAAAGAGAGATACTATCACTGTCTTCAAGAAGTTTGGGACCCCACTTCCTGTGCTGTCTTCAGGAGGCAGAGGGAGATCCAGCGAATTGAAAATGTCTAGTGATGACAAGTCACTTCTGTGGCACCATCGTGGAATGGAACCAAGTACTCAAGTCAGTGATCAAAGAAGACACAACTTGACTCCACAGTGTGCATGGAGGTGTCTCAGACAATCCTGTTCTGTTCTAGGCTGTGTGCACCATGATGGCAGGGACCGAACCCTCGTTGTCACTGCACCTCTGGGCCCCAGCCCAGTGCCTGGCTCATGGTGGGTGAACAAATAATTGTTCAATGAATATTGCCCCCTTCTGTCTTGCCATCCTGTGCTTTTGTCCACTGCCCTGACCCTAACTCAAATGCCACCTGCTTTGTGAAGACTTAACTGAGGGCACTTCCCAGGGACAACATGCTCTCTTCTAAACACCTATAGCTTTAATTACTATTATTATTTAGAGAGAGATTTTTTTTTTTGCTCTAGGGTGCATGTGCTTGCCGAAGAGACAGAGACAGACAGAAAGTGAGAAATCACCTCCCGGAAGGGGGTGGTTGTGGATTGCCAAGCAGCAATCCCTTCTCCTCCATTCTATTTTATGGAATCAAATGTTGCTGAATTCTATAATAAAAAAATAAAGCCAATGAAGATCTTTAAAATGGATCTAGATCTCACATGGTTGACTGAGGGTTCAAATCCTGGCTGCAGTGACTCGAAAAACACACTGGTCGCATACATTTGTGTCCAAAATCCTGACAGGATGGAAAGACAGAGAAGGGACTTCAGAGCGATCATGAATAAAGAGTCCCCCAAGGGGCACTCCTTCCCTCTCCTTTTCTCTTTGGCTCTCTCTGGTGAGCACATCCATTCTCTGGCAATGAAAGAAAAAGGCCGTTGAACTAAGTTGTTATAATTTGTCACTTGACACTACACATTTGTCTTTTCTTTCATTTCAAATACGTGGAATCATATAGTATGGGTATTTATTTATTTATTTGCTGTAGGGCACATGTGCTTGCTAGAGAGAGAGAGAGAGAGAGAGAGAGAGATATCACCCCCTGGGGGAGTGGCCACACTGCAATCCCTTCTCTGTTCTATTCTTGGGATTTTGGGGATGCATGCACACATGCCCAGTGTGATTTTCTTTTTCTTTCTTTCTTTGTTTAAAGAATAATTTATTTGTTTGTTATTATTATTATTGTTTTAAAAATTTGATCAGAGAGAGAAAGATACAAAGGGAAAGTGAGAAGCAAACCACTAGAAACAGGACTCGAGCTGTGGTTGGCTATGTGGAAGTCCAGCACCTTAACCACCATGCCACCTGTTGGCCCCACCCAGCGTGATTTTTTTCTTTTTTTTGGAGAGGTTTTTGCTATAGGCCACATGCACTTGCCAGAAAGACAGAGAGAGACAGAGAGACAGAAAGCAAGAAATCATCACCCCCCACCCCGGGGGGATGGCTAGGCTGCAATCCCTTCTCCTCCATTCTTCTTTTTGGATCTTGGGCACACACGCACACGCACCCAGCGTGAATTTAAGCCACCAGGTCCAGGACTTGAACCGCAATCAACTACATGGGAGTCCAGCGACATAGCCATTATGCCAACTGCTGGTCTCCCCAGTATGATTTTTAAGCTGCTGGGTCTGGATTCGAACCATAGTTGACCATGTGGGAGTCCATTGCCTTACCACCTGCTTGCACCAGTATGGGCCTTTTAATGTCTTACTTTTTTCACTTGGAGTGATTTTTTTTGTTCTTTTTTTTTGGAGAGGTTTTTGCTATAGGGCATGTGCGCTCACCAGAAAGACAGAAAGCGAGAAATCACACCCCAGGGGGGATGGCTGTGCCACAATCTCCTCTCCTCCATTCTCCTCTTGGGATCTTGTGCATGCATGCACACACGCCCGGCGTGAGTTTGAGCCACCGGGTCCAGGGCTCGAACAGCGGTCGACTACATGGGAGTCCAGCGACATAGCCATTATGCTAACTGCTGGTTCCTTGGCGTGATGTTTTTAAGATTCATCCATGTTGTTGCAGGATTCCTTTTTCATGCCAAGTGGTATATACCACATCACATGTTGCTTGCCTATTCTCTTTTATAAAGTAGATTCGTTCTACGTTTAACTTGTTAAAGTAAATGAAAATGGAGAGTTCCTGATCGGACAAAACCAGTTAGGCCTCCTAAGTGACCTCAACTTTCCTTGATCCGCAAACATAAGTGAAATTTAACTTGGGTCATTTCTGATCAATGCTTCTGTTTGGCAGAAATAAAACTTAACCCCAGCCAATCAGAAGCAGCCAACTAACATAGGATTATATAATCAGGGACTTTCTAACAAGGTATCTATAAAAGGGCAATTTTGTGATTGCAAGCTAATCAAATAATTTCTTTGTTTCTACATTTTCCCAATAAATTTTTGCCTCTGATGTTTTGTCACTGGGATACTAAACCTGTTTTGGTCTGGTGTTTCCCAGTTCCATCAATTGCTTATTACTCAAACTCTCTAAAATTTTATTTTGCCTGGGATTTTTCTGTTAACAGGCTACACTGAGTAAAATTGCTAGGAACCTTCACGTACAAATCTGCATGTATGAACATATGTTTTAATTTCCCTGGGGTAAATAACTAGAAATAGAACGGCCAGGTTGTAAGGTGTAATTTGTTAAGAAACCACTAAACTGTTTTTCAGCGTGGCTGGCCATACCATTTTTTATTCTCTAGAGAAATACATGAGAGTCCCAGTGGCTCTATAACTTCTCCAGTTCGTGGTAGTATCAGTCTTTTTCATCTTAGACATCCTAGGGAGGGTGTACTATAAGTATTTTAAAATATATTATAATGTCTTGACATGTAAAATATACTCTCTTGCTGGGGAGAGATTGCTCTTCCAAAACTAGTGAATTATTTTTTTCTTTTTAAATGGCAGTCTTTGGAGGTGCATGAGAGAGAGACAGAGAGAGAAAAGTACAGTCTACAGGGTCTTACTATGGCCTCTCTTCCCCAGCCCTTATGGCTTCTCGGAATCCTGGGCACCCATGTGACCACCTGGCATGTCTTCTGGGCGACTGGGCACCTGTGTTACCACTGTGTCACAAAGGTTGGGCCTTCGTCAATTCTTAGAGATAACCAAGGGCCCAGCCTGGAGCGTGACTTTGATTTGCAAGCTAACTGATCTGAAGCCAAATCTCTCTCAGGCCCACACACCCCTCAGAAGACAAGATTCTTCTGCTTTAATCGCCCCAGGCCTAGTTACCAGGCAACTAAAGACCAACCTTGGTCTTTAAAAGCCTGCAGAAATGATTGCAAGGACAGTAGACAATCCTAAACTCTTCATTCGGCCCTGCCTGGCCTTTCCTGCAGAAATCCCAATGAAGACTGAGGCCTAAACCTTCCACCTGCTCCTGGCTTCCTGGCCACTCTGATGTCTTTCCCATGAGCCCTGCGCGGTGTGCAGTGCCTCTTTCTCTGTCTATTCCTGTGGCTGCACCCAACTGACAAGATCATCAAAGAATATAAAATGAAGCATGTAGCAGCATTTAGCATTTTCCTAACGACAACACTTTTTGAGAGAGATTTTTGCTATAGGGCGCATGTACTCGCTGAAGAGACAGAGAAAGATAGAGAGACAGAAAGCGAGAAATCATCTACCCACAGGCATAGCCAACGACACAATCCCTTCTCCATTCTCCTTTTGGGATTCTGGGACACATGCATATGTGTCCGGTGTGAGTTTTAAGCCTCGGAGCCTGGGACTTGAACCACGGTCGACTATATGGGAGTCCAGAGATGTAACCATTATGTCATCTACTGGTCTCATGATAGCATCTTTTTTTTTTTTTTTTTTAGAATTATTTTATTTAACTTTATTTATTTATTTATTTTAGTCTGACCAGAGAGGGACAGTGCAAGAAAGAGAGAGAGAGAGGGAAAGTGAGAAAGCAAGGCACCAGGTTGGGACTTGAACCGCAGTCAGCCATGAGGGAGTCCAGTACCCTTAACCACCATGCCATCTGCCAGCCCCGATAGCACCTTTTTATGTGATTACTTATCACTTGTCTATTTTCTTTGGTGAAACATTCGTTCAAACTTCTTATTTCTGAGTTGATAAGATAGAGACACACACACATATATTTTATTCTGGACATAGTGTTTTATTGTAAACAAGTTTTATAAATATTTCCTCCTGGTCTCTAATTTGACTTTTCATTTTAATGGTCTCCTTCAAAGAGGAAAAACTTAAATTTCAAAGAATTCCAATATATCAGTTTCTTTCATTATGGTTTGTGCTTTTCTGTGGCCTAAGAAATCATTATGTCCCCAAGCAGCTTGATTTTTAAAGAATACTTTTACTGGATAGAGAATTCTTAGTTGACAGTTCTTTCTTTTAGCATTGTGAACATAGTCTTCTTTTTTTTTTTTGTCATTATTTTTTATATTTTATTTTTTTGAAGTCGACCAGAGAGAGACAGCGAGAGAGAAGGAAAGCGAGAAAGCAAGCTGCCAGGTCCAGGACTCGAACCGTGGTCAGCCATGTGGGAGTCCAGATGCCTTAACCACCACACCGCCTGCCGGCTGCATGAATATATTCTTCTTATCTTTTCTGGCCTCCACTGTCTCTACTGAGAAATCAACCACTAAGTATGTCATTCTTCACTTATATGTAATGTGTTATTTTTCTTTCTTTTTTTTTTTTTTTTTAAGTTTTGCTACAGGACATGTGTACCTGCCAGAGAAACATAGAGAGAGGGAGAAAGAAGGAAAGTAAGAAAGGCCCCCCTAGAGGGGATAGTCTCAGGACTTTAGGCATGCACACACATGTGCCTGGTGTGATTTTCAAGTCTCCAGGTTTGGGATTCGAACTGAGCAGTTGACCACATGGGATCCAGCCGCCTTTACCCTTGTATCACCTGCTAGCTCTAGTGCTTTCTCTTTAATCTAAATTTTTTTTTTCATTTTTCTCTTATCAGTTCCATTATGACATATCCAGGTATTGTTTCCTTTGTGTTTATTCTATTAAGTATTAGAACTATAAACTAGCATTTCCACCAAACTAGGAAAATTCTGTCGTTATTTCTTTGAAATTTTTTTCTGCTTTCCTCTTGCTCTCCTTTTTCTGGGACTCTAGTTAATGTATATTGGACTGCCTGCTATTGCATCATAGGTCTCTGAGGTTTTTATTCCCTTCTCTCCAATTTTATTTTTTCTGTTTTTATTATCTTATAATTTACTGATTTTTCTGCCATCTTAAACCTGCTGTTGAGCCTCTCTTAGGACTTTTCATTTCGGTTACTAAGCTTTTCAATTCTAACATTCCACTTGGTTCTTTTCTGTAGTTTCAGTTTTCCTATTGAAAAACCCTATTTGTTCATTCATTCATCCATATCACATTTTTCCTTTAGTTTTTGAACATACTTAGAATGCAGCTTTACAGTCTGTCTGTCAAATCAACATCTGGGCCTGCTCAGAGCCAATTTCTACTTACTGTTTATTTCTCCTGGTGTGTAGGTCATATTTACTTTCCCCTTTGTTTGTATGTCTAATAATTCTTGGTGGAAATCTGACCATTACAGGTAATACAATATAGAATCTTTCTGTTCTTCTGGGGATAGCTGTGTTTTTTTGAGTAGGCAATTAACTAACCTACATTCAGGTTGCAAAATCTTTCATGCCACGCCCCCACACATACCCTATGATGTGCAATAGATGATATTTCTGCTTGTTTTTTTTTTTTTTTTTTTCCAGCTGTTGTTAATTTAGCCTGGCCCTCTGGAGGCTCCCCCTGCATCTGTGTAGTTTGACAGTCAGTCAAGGATTTGGGCAGAATTTATATTCAGGTTGGGGGTCAACCTTCTTTTTGGTTTCCTCATTTTTGGAGTTCCTTACTTAAACTTTCAGTTGCTTTGCTAGTCCTCAGTTGTGTCTTCTTGACACCTCACACCAGTTAAACGTCTGCTTTTCACTATCTACAGCATGTGAGTTAGAGAATACACCCATCAAAAGCACAGAGGGACCAGCAATGGCATAATAGTTATGTCACAGGACTCCCATGTAGTCAATCATGGTTCGAGTCCCGGACCTGGCAGCTTAAAATTCATGCCAGGTGGGACCAGCAGTTAGCATAATGGCTATGTCGCTGAACTCCCATGTAGTCGACCATGATTTGAGTCCTGGACCCGGTGGCTTAAACTCATGCCAGGTGCATGTATGTGTATAACCAAGATCCTGAGAGGAGAATGAAGCAGAAGGGATTGAGGTGTGGCCATCACCCTGGGGAGTGATTTCTCCCTGTCTCTCTGTCTCTCTGGCGAGTGCACACGCCCTTTAGCAAAAACCTCTCTGAAAAAAAAATTCATGCCAGGTGCATGTATGTGTATAACCAAGATCCTGAGAGGAGAATGAAGCAGAAGGGATTGAGGTGTGGCCATCACCCTGGGGAGTGATTTCTCCCTGTCTCTCTGTCTCTCCAATGAATGCATGTGCCCTATATAAAAAAATCTCTCTCTCTAAAAAAAAAGAAAAAGCACACAAACTTACAAATATAACCTGGTTCAAGTCTATCTTTCCAGGATAAACTTCCTTTTAGTTTCTGCCTTTTTCTAGTCAAGCTTCTCAGGGTCTTATGTGTGCATGTGTACATTAGCAGTCAGCCAGGGATGTGGAATTTTTATATCTTATTTTGAAATTCTCCTCTATATTAAGCACATGAAAATATTCTGCCCTTTCTTATAAAATGTAAAGATTTTTTTGTCTTTCCTGTTTAAGTCTTTTTAATTTGTTATTATTTTTTTTAATCGAGATTTTTGCTATAGAGCATGTGTGCTCACTGAAGAGTCAGAGACGGATAGAGAGCTAGACAGACAGAAAGTGAGAAATCACCCCGGGGGGGGGTGGGGAGATGGCTATGCTGCAATCTCTTCTCCATTTTCCTCTTGGGATTTTGAGCATGCACACACACATGCCTGGCCTGAGTTTTAAGTCTCCAGGTCCAGGACTTGGACTGCAGTTGGCCATGTGGGAGTCTAGTGATACAACCATTATACCACCTGCTGGTTCCGTCTTTTCAATTTTTTTTTTCAGAAAGATTTTTGCTATAGGGCATGTGTGCTTGCCAGAGAAACAGAGAGAGACAGAAAGTGAGATATCACCATCTAGGGGGGGTGGCCACGCCACAGTCCCTTCTTCTTCATTCTCCTCTTGGGATTTTGGACACACATGCACCCGTGCCCAACTTAAGTTTTAGGCCACCAGATCCAGGACCCAAACTGTAGTTGACTACGTGGGAGTCCAGTGATGTAATCATTACATCACTTGCTGGTCCTGCTAGTCTTCTTAATTTTTAAAAGAGTTTTGCTATAAGGCATGTGTGCTTGACAGAGAGAAACAGAAAAAGAGAGGGAACATGAGAAGACACTCCCCAGGGATAATGCCCATGCTGCAATCCCTTCTCTGTTCTCTCAGGATTTGGGAGATGTACATATACATGTTTTTCAAGCTGCTGGGTCTGAGACTTGAACTGCATAGCTGGCCATGTGCGATCTAGTTGCCTTAACTACCATACCACCAGCTGACACCCAATTTAAGTCCTTTATCAAGTTAAAATTACTTTTGGGTAAAGTAGGAATCTGATTTTACTTTTTTTTCCCCCCTCTTTTTGGAGAGTTTTTATTTTTGCTATAGAGCGCGTGTGCTCGCCAGACAGACAGAGACAGACAGAAAGCGAGAAATGACCCCCCAGGGGGGATGGCTACACCGCAATCTCTTCTCCTCCGTTCTCCTCTTGGGATCTTGGGCACTCATGCACACGCACCTGCCATAAGTTTTAAGCCACCGGGTCTGGGACGCGAACCGCGGTCAACTACATGGGAGTCCAGCGACGTAGCCATTACGCTAACTGCTGGTCCCCCGATTTTACTTTTTTAATGTGATATTCAATTGATCCTCCTTTCTTTGGTAATCTGTAATACTGCCAATGTCATAAGTCGAGGGTCCATATCTGTAAGCATTTCTGGGCTTTCTCCCTCTTCCACTAATCAATGTGATTAATCTCCTTGTCAATGTCATACTGTATTAATTACTACAGGCTTATAGTAAGTCTTGATATTTGGTAGTGAAAGTCCTCCTTTTCTTTGACAGAAATATCTTTGCTATTCCTATACTTCTGCTCTTTTACATATATTTTAGAATCAGATTGTCAAGTTCCTTAAAAAAAATTCTGTTTGGATTTTATTTGGAATTACTTTCCAAGCCTAGACCAATGTGGGAGGAACTAACATTTTTAGGTTATTGAATCTTCCAATCATTAACACAGTTGTATCTTCCTTTACTTAGGCCTTATTTTTAAATAAAGTTTAAAAATGTTTTCCAATTAAGCCTTAAGAGGTAAACTTAGGGTACAGAGTGAAGCAGCAGAGATATACTGGTCTACCCAAGACAGAATGATGTGTTTCAGGCAACTCCAGATTTAGGGAAATCAAGGACAAAGATCAAAAACATTCCACTTGCCCTCCAGGATGTTTTTAGTTACACATAGAATATTTACATGAAAAAATATTATAGAGAGTAGAGTAATTGATAATGAACACTTACCCCAGCCTTAATATAAATATGTATAAATATCCAACCAAGAACAAAGAGCATAAATATACCCTGAAACCAAAAAGAAGAACAATTAGAGTTCCATCTAAATAAAGCTCTTAAATGAGATACAAGCTCAGTTTCTATCTGTCTTGAGCTTAACGAATGTGTCACTATTGGAGACTCTACAAATAGAGGTCTAAGAATATAGCTTCTAGTGCAATAAACTTAACTTACAGGCACCTGATTTTTGCCTATAAAATAATACATTCTTTTAAAATTATTCTTTTATTGTCAGAGGGCATGTGAGTGCTCTCCAGACAGAGAAAGAGAGGCCCAGAGAAAGCACTTCCCCTCCATGGGGCATGGTCATGCTGCAATGGCTTCTTCTTCATTTCTCCATCTAGCTGGGATTTGGGTCACACACACACACACACACACACACACACACACACACACATGGCCTAGCATGTTTTTCAAACTGCTGGGGCTGGGATTCAATCTGTGGTTGGCTATGCGGGATTTGGTTCCCTTAACCATTGTCCTTTGGAACTGGCCAAAAGAGTGAGCTCTCAATTCCGAAGGGTTAACTGAGCTAGTCTCAAGGCGTTTATTTTTTAATTTATTGTTTTTCCACTTTCAGATAGGAATGAACATGGTCTGTAAATAAATTTAAGAGACCAGCAGTAGGTGTAATGGCTATGTCGCTGGACTCCCATGTAGTCGACCATGGTTCGAGTCTTGGACCCAGTGACTAAAACTCACGCTGGTACGTGTGCATGAGTACCCAAGATCCCAAGAGGAGAATGGAAGAGAAGGGACTGCAGTGTGGCCATCCCCCTCGGGGGATGATTTCTCTCTCTATTTCTCTGTCTTTCTGGCGAGCACACGCATCCTATAGCAAAAAAACAAAAACAAAAATAAAAACAAAACACAACAAAACAAAACAAAAAACACCTCTCAAAAAAAAATTTAAAAGATTGTTTAGGCTCAGCAAGTGGCGTGTTGATTAAAGTGCTAGACTCCCACATGGATGACCACGATTTGAGTCCCAGATGCTGTGGCTTAAAACTTAACTCTGGGTGTGTGTGCATGTGTGCCCAAAATCCCATGAGGAGAATGAAGGAGAAGGGACTGAGGCATAGCCATGCCCCCGGGGAGTGATTTCTCACTATCTCTCTTTCTCTGTGCCTTATGGCAAAAAACTTACCCCCCCCCAAAAAAAAAGAAAGAAAGAAAAGATAGTTTAAAAAAGAAAAGAAAAATCAGAAACTAGAACCATTAAGAGAAACTTTGGAACCAGCAGTTGGTGCAACGGCTGTCATGGGACTCCCATGTAGTCGACCACGGTTTGAGTCCTGGACCTGGTGGCTTAAACTCATGCCGGGCACTTGTGCGTGCATGCCCAAGATCCTGAGAGGAGAATGGAGAAGGGACTGTGGTGTGGCCATCCCCCCCAGGGGGTGATTTCTCACTTTCTGTCTCTCTGTCTCTCTTTTTCTGGTGAGCACACGAAAAACTTCTAAAAAAAACATTAATATGATCTTCTCCCTGCCTGACTAGTCTGCTAAAAGTCCTTGTTCATTGTATTCCTCTGGTCCTTGGGATGCAAACATCCTCTATGTCTTCATTAGTTTATTTCTTTCAGAGAGTTTTTGCTATAGGGCGCATGTACTTGCCAGAGGAAAAAAGAGACGGAAAGTGAGAAATCACCCTCCAGGGGGATGGCCATGCTGCGATCTCTTTTCTTCCAATTTCTTCTTGGGATTTTGGACACACATGCGCACATGCCCCGTGTGAGTTATAAGCTGCCGGGTCCAGGACTTGAACCGTGGTTGACTATGTGGGAGTCCAGCAATATAACCATTACACCAGCTGCTGGCCCCTATGTCTTCATTAATTTATTAAGAAGAATGAAACCAGCACAATCCTTTTGGGAAATCAAAGATTTGGTTCCTTTCCTCCATACCATCTCGAGAAGTCTAATAATATTCATTCGACGTTGAGAACAAGTTTTTATATTTATCAGGTTTATTTGGACAATGGTAAAGTGGGTGAGTTGCTTCAGAAGGTGTTACTTACATTCCACTCAAAGGCCCCAGCAGCAATCCCAGAAGACGCTCCGATCCCAGCCAGGCCCATAAGGTGGCCAATGCCAATATTTGTGGCAAAAAGAGAAATTCCTATCTGAAAATGAAAAGCTGATTAGATATCAGAACTCTTAGTTCAATTCTGATCATTAATTTTCACAAGTATAAACACACTGAACTTCACATTTTCTCCAAAAATATTCATCCCTGGGCAGAATTCCCATTCCTGTTTCTTCTGTGCTGGCCCTAACCATGAGTGAGAGGTCAAGGGAAGAGAAAGTGAAAAAGTGCTCTCCTGTACCGCCATTCTCCATGTTTCGCTGATGTATTTTCTTTTCTTTTCTTTTTTTTGGAGAGGTTTTTGCTGTAGGGCGCGTGCGCTCGCCATACAGACAGAGAGAGAGAGAGAGAGAGAAAGCGAGAAATCATCCCCCAGGAGGGATGGTCACGCCGCAATCCCTTCTCCTCCATTCTCCTCTCGGGATCTTGGACACACACGCACACGCGCCCAACGTGAGTTTTAAGCCACCAGGTCCGGGACGCGAACCGTGGTTGACTACGTGGGAGTCCAGCAACATAGCCATTACGGTAACTGCTGGTTCCCCACTGATGTATTTTCAATGACCAATTCATTTACAATTATTAGCAAATGCAATTTGTTTGAAATCATTTAAAAATGTTAACAATTTTGCTATAGGGTGTGTGTGCTTGCCAGAGAGACAGAGAGAGACAGAGAGACAGAAATTGAGAACTCACTGGGACCAGCAGTTAGCGTAATGGCTATGTCACTGGACTCCCACATAGTCGACTGCAGTTCGAGTCCTGGACCCGGTGGCTTAAACTCACGCTGGGCGCATGTGCGTGCGTGCCCACAATCCCAAGAGGAGAAGGGATTGCGGTGTGGCCATCCCCCC